GGAGATAAAATCAAAATAAAAACAAATAACAAACCTTATTTTTTTAATATACCTTTTAAATTCTGATTCCAATGTCCAATTTGGGCATATAATCAATGCTTAATTCCGAAAAGCAGTAAATCCACAGCATAAAAATTGATGCGGATTTTACCGCCATTCTTTTCGCCGGGGACTGTAATAAATATTTTTCATGATAAAATAATAAAATTTGATCATATAGTATTTTGTATATTAAATTTATCTAGATTCTAATAGGTAAAATTCTAAAATTATTGATTACCCAAATGATCTAATAATCTATTTACTAAAAGTCCTGAGTCTTATTTTTAGGATAAATCTAATCCTTATTTAGAAGAAAAAACAAAGAGCTTCTATATATAAATATAATTAGATGTATTTTAATATAACATAGGAGTGATTTTGTGATTTTAACAAATTTTAGATTGTTAAAATCATTATATTAAGAAGAATTGAAATCCAATATTAGTTTTTTAGTAGTCAGATTACTGAAAAATATTTTCTAAACTTAAATTTCATTAAGTAAAAATTTAATGTACCATTAAATTGCAAAGTTGGTCTTAATAATTATACTCAAATTTTACTGAATATTATTAAATTTTAAGATTTAAAATAAATACAAAATCATATTTCTAGCATTGTAGTTGATGAGCTATAAGCTTTTAGACAAGTAACTCTAGTAGTATTTTTTATAGAGTCTACTATAAGTAATTAACATAATTTAAAAGATTGGATAGCTATTAATAATCAACTGTATTATTAACATATAATTTTATGAATTATGACTATTAGACAGTGATGATTCTTTTTAATTGGATAGTATTTACAAACTTTATTTATATTGATTTTTCAAAAATGATATATTTAATAGAATGATAATATAGTATTTTAGAAGGTAATCACATTTCAAAAGTAAGTTTATTCATGAGATATAAGATCAATCAATCATCCTAAAGAAATGATATATTCGTTCTTAAAGAGATGATAGAATCATTCCAAAAAAGACAATAGAAATTGTTTCAAAAGAACGATACATTCATCTTTAAAGAATTATAGAATCATTTCAAAAGAAATGAAAGATAAAAAAAAAGGAAATAAAGAAATAACAAAAGATAGGAAAATAAAAAAAAAAATAAAAAAAACAAAGATATAGTAGACCAGTTGCTTCAATTTGCTAAAAACTAATTTATTAATTCTTACATTTTTTTATCATTTCAGAAATCGAAAGAACTTACAGAATGATACGAAGACGATGAAATACTATTTTCAAATAAAAGTTTTTTTTTTTTATTCATCGAGAAGACAAGAAATTAAAGTTCCGGACTCTCAGTTATTGTATAGAAAAGGTATATTTATCACTTCTAATGTTCATCCATAAATCTCTTACGGAAATTTCATTCCATAAATGGACAAGAACTTTATCTAAAAATTTTAAAAATTCAATAAGGCAATCTTTATCAATCAACAGAGAAATTTTAAACGGGAAAAATAAATGAGTTCTTAAATTTACAAATGAGAACCAATTTCGATTAGATTGATAGATCAAATCATTAAATAATTTCAGAGTTTACTTACTTGTTAATTGACATGATAATGACTTTTAAAGATAGTATTATTATGTACTAATTAATAATATTACCCGGTCTTTTAGAACTATGAATCTATATAACCGATATTTCTCATTCTTCCATATAATTTCATATTACGTTAATCGACATTATATTTAATATATTCGTCCTAATGTCAGTTATTGAAGTCTTCGACCGATATAGTTACTCCCCGTTCAATATCATACAAATAATCTTCCATATTGAATAAGTATAAAGATTTATTTGAAATCGTTCATTTTTGATATAAATAAATTAAATTTTTTTTTTTTATCGTTGTCTCTTGTATGTGCTATTATTGCATCACATAATTTCAGACCTCCGTCATTAAAATTAATTCATAAATACGGTTCAAAAAATGTTTTTATGGACTTTCAAGTCAAATCAGCAGTTCTATATAATAACATACAAATAATCGTTAATTATAATGATAATTTAAACAAATATATATGTTAAATGATTATAAATACCTGTATATTTTATATTTTAACTTTGGCGGAGTATTCCCGAATAGCCGAGGTTATACGATCATCAAGTTCTCCACCCTTTCCAGATGCGATTTTCAATATATCCCTCTAAAATAAAATAATGATTAAAATTAAATAGATGTCGAGTAAAGAAAAACATGAAAAAATTCAAGTTTTACCGTGAGTTCGTAATTTCCAAGTATATCAACATGATCCGATGTTTTTGCTCCGCCACGCAAATCAAAAGCTGGTCCCACCTCGTGTTGAAATTCTCGTGTAATTATCTTAATTCTTGCTGGATTATATAAGGGATTTTCCCATCCTTTAGTACACATATATCCTAAAGAAAGTAATGGCACCGTACCATCTCTAAAAAAATTAAAATGAAAAGTTATTTAAAATTCACAGAATTGTTATAGCATTTTTTGTACTAACCCTTCGCCATTATGTACACCACTTTTTATTTTGGGGTCTGTTTCGGAATTCATTGAACTATCGATAAACATATTTTTTAAAAAACTTGTAACTTTCTTTCTGAATCGATTCACGTCACCATCAGCGCCAAAGTCGTCGTCTTCATCATTATCATCTTCTTGTTCATGTGAATAATAATATTTTCTTTCAGTTTCTTTTCCATATCCATATAAACAATATATCGTCATATTAGGTGCATTAGGTAACTGTGACTCTAATACATTTGTCCATTTGGTACGATCCTCTTTCGTATTTTGCATTTCTTCTTCACTAGTGGCTATCCCGAAACTATAATTCCTTGTCAACATTTCACTAAAATTAGTTGTAGACTTTAGTAAAAGGTTTACACCAGATTTGCACGAGTGATGTTTTATTTTCTCTGACTTATGGGTTTTATTAGCATTTGTACTACTAGTATTCTCTTTCTTTTTTATTAACGATCGTATTGTTAACATGGAACCATATGTCTCATCAATATCATTACGATCATCAGGTGCTTCATGTTTTGTACCCCAGACTTCTTCACCGCCTTTAGGTAACATCGAAGAAAGACCTCCCCACGTGCGAAACAGGCCAGCGCGTTCGAACTTTGAAAAGAAACGTTCAAGCACATAAATTCCAAAGGACCCTAATTCAACAGTGTCACGCATTTCACCTATAAAATGATGCATAAATGAATCAAAGTTACTTAATAAAAAAATAAAGTAAGAAAAATAGTTTCAATAAGAAAATACCTGAAAGTAATGCCGACAAAGCTTTAGGTAAGCCCAACAATGGTCCTCCTATATTAACAAATGCTTCTATATATTCATTCACCCAATTTGGACCTCCATTTCCTCCTGTAGGCGATTCAACCCATTTAAAGAAATAAAGAGTTACCAATCCACCTATAAATATGATAAATTTTAATTTTTAAAAAAAAATACACTTATATACAATATATATATATATATCAACAAACCCATTGAATGACCAACTACCACACTTTTCCTTCCGTCAATTTTTTTGGCCAGCTCAAGAGTCGCTTTTAGCTTGGAGAAATATTGATCCCTAACTTCAAGATTATAGAATGAGAGTCTCCAATCATAAGCTGCAAGATGCATATTATTATTATCATAACCGATTGCTGCAAAGTTTTGAATCATTTTACCTATAAATAGATATCGAAAATAATATAAGCTATAAGTATTTTAAAAAAACTCATCAAATAACGGTCAATAAACCTACCCCATACCCAATACCTATAACGACCAATATATATATATATATATAAAAATAAATTTATTGTATATAAAGTTTGATGGAATTTTACAAAAAATAATATACATACCCAGGGAACAAATAATCAGCTGCATCCAGGCCTTAAAATTAAAAAAAAATTGATATAAGATTTATACTACAGAAGAAAAATCATTTATTTAATTCAACTATTCAAACCTTGCGCAGCTCGCAATTTAAAGTTGGGAGGATCCAAACCAGTGACAGGATCAAGTTTCATGTTTTCAGTCCAGCACTCTTTATCCAATAATACAGCACGGAACATAGCTATACAAATTAGATAATACAAATTAAATAATATTAATTAATATAGAATCAATATGGGTCATGAATGAATAATTTACATACTTGTTGTTCCCCACATTCGCTTTCGAAAATAAGGTCGTGAGCAATTAGACGTGCTCCAACTTTCTAACCCCTAGTTATTTGTAAGATATTAAAAAGAGCATAATAAACCAATAGCTAATATTAAAATACTTACTGTTGAGACAATTCCAGGAATCAAAACAACCGGATGATGTGATTTAATTCCCTCACCAATCAAATCCAGAGCGGGATAAAATTCCTTATCTTCCAAGAGTGTTATATTCGGCTTGAGAAATAAAGTAATATTACCCAGTAGCTCATCCACAAGAATATTTGCCGGTAAAATGCTAGCAAAATCCAAGTCCGAAAAAGCAACTGAGATATAATTGGAAATCTCAGTCCTTCTTTGTCCCATTAACCACGCAATGGCAAGTCCAAGAATGATACCAGCAGTAAAAACGACACGTTTCTTTGTAAGAAAAGGCCTGTCTTCTTCATGTTTTAGAAAGTAAGTAGTATTCAAAATTTCTTCAGCTGTTTCAGATGTGTTATTCTCTTTACGATATTTACGTCTACGTAAAGTTTCAGATGTTTTTCTAAAAGATTTAGATGAATCAGAATTTGGTGAAGTTGTTGTCGTTGTAATTGATAAATCAGCAATGTCAGTTACATCAGTTCCGGTATCGCTTGTTAATTCTTCGGAAACTGAGTCTTTACGTTTCTTGCGCTGTCTACGTTTACTCGTCATAAGTTTTTCTTTTCTTTGGCAGCAACGGAGAAAGTTTTTTTTTTTATTTTTGTGATTTAAAAAATTATAAATTCAATTTTTAAGCCTTTTTAAACGAATTTAGTCTTTGTATGTATAGAAATGAAACGATACGAAATCAAAAGATCGGGTACAAAATCTGGAATGGCATGAATGCATCAGATCGACATAATAATTTCAAAGTTTGACATAAGTATACGCCGAATATATTTATTTATGATAACGAGAAAACTATGTCATCTCGCGTTCTAAATATATTTGCATTATCACGTGATTCATATTTAATGGAAATTCTGATCGAGATCAGATCATCTGATTAATTGGTAGATACTACCTCAATGTACATGTACATGTGCAACGTCTAAAAAGTTTGTATAGCTTAAACAAACTGGATTTACTCTAATCGAGATTCATTGATTATCTGTGTCATTTCTTTTATTTCGCGTCAGTAATTAGATTAACCCATGAAGTGAGTTTTTTTTTAATTTATTCAGATTTGCCTTTTTAAAATGTTTTACGTTGACGGACGAAATTCTCGAATATAGAAACGAAAACCCAAAACTTGAAATAATGACTGAAGTTGAAGGTATGCTTTCATTTTTTTTATTTGTTTCTTATCAAATTAGTAATTTACTTTCTTGAAACACTTTTCATAATGAAGGTGGAAGTATGAGGTCATATCGGCGACGCATAACAGCATTCCCTTCCGATGTTTCTTCATTACGTGTCAGAAGAAATTTAATAAGGCAAATAGAATCCGATGTTGAACGAGATGAAGGTTTAATATTTTTTTTCTTTTCTTATTTCGAAGCAAAAATTAAACATTATTATTAACATTAATCAGTTCATTAATTATTTATTGTATATATATTCAAATGAATTAGATAAAAATAGAACCCCAGCAGAAATAATACAAGATGTTCTAACTTGTATTAAAGATCGTGGTGAAGAGCCTGCAACACGTGTTGAGAAATTAAATAGTTTGGTACGGTTAATTAAAAATCACGAAAGATTAAAGTATACATATCCGGCTGAACCTTTTTTAAGGGGGTATGTTTCAATTTTATACCTTAAATAGTTAAATATAAGGTTATTTATATTAATTTATAATTCGCTTTCAATAGTTTGAGATTTTGTGTATCAGATTCAGTAAAGGAAGTCAGAATTGCTGGATATCGAGCATTGAGATATCTGATTGCGGACATTGAAACATTAGAACAAATCATGAATTTACATTATGATATATTTATGATGAGGTAATTTATTTATTTATTTTTTTTATTTATTTTTTTATTTTTTATTTATATGTGAAATAATGAATAATGATATTTTATATAGATCATTGACGAAAGATCCAAAATTATTCAATGATGAGAGAGAGCAAGTTTTGAAAATTTTACGAACTTTTTCAGATATACCTAGTGGCATTAAATTTATTTCTCTTGGCATTATGCGATCACTTGTATCAATTGCCGAACAATCTGATGAGAAATTAAGAAACATTTGTTTAGAAACCTTGGCTGAAATAAGTATGAATAAACTAATAATGATTTAGTTAAAATGGAATTTATTAGTTTTGGACTCTTTGTATATTGACACATTTATATAAATATAAATTTTTTTCAGTGATTCGTGAGCCAAAAAAGATTACACATTGCGGTGGGATGAGAGTGCTTCTTCAGGCTTTAATTGATGGACCTACGGAACTTGCCGAATATTTAATGATGGCCTTTTTATATGTAATTGATACTCCGGATTCTAGGGAATGTATTAGACCAGGGATTGATTTGGAGGTTTGGATATTATTTTGAAGAAAAATTATTTACGATTTATTCAATTTTTACCAAAGTCATTTACATGAATAAATTAATATTAATCAGATCGTGCTTTCTGGATTCACGGATGCCTGTAATAAAGGCACTAAGTCTGACCAGCATATTAAAGCTAGTTCTAGAGCAATATCTGTACTATTAAAGTCCTGGACAGGAATTATATTTCTTTGTAGAGACAATAAGCAAGCAATAAAATCTATCGTAGAATCACTCAGAATAACTTCGGATGATACGAGGGTCAGTAGGTCTTAGGTTACATGAAAATTATTTTATTATTTGTTAAATATCGGACGATTTATGACAATGATCTCTTATCCAATTAGAAATTTTTTATAATCCATAGGAAATCATGCTTGATATGTTTTTCAACATTTTCAGGATAAAGACTCCGAAATGGTATCCTAGCTTCTTATCTGGGAAAAGGATAACTGGTAAAATATATATGTATATATTTTTTTTAAAAAAAAATTGAGACGCATAATTTAATTTTAGAATCTTGAAAAAAAATATATATATATAGTATATGGTAGTCCTGAACCAGAAGGTAATAATAACGGCGAACCACCACCTTTATCTACAAGTGTTCAGGACAGATTGAATTTATTGGATCATCATTTGGTTATCTTACTGGATATATTTATTGACTCGGGACTTCTTGATGTATGTAATGACTATATTTGGAGAGAAAATAGAACAAAATTCAAAACATTTCACTTTTATTGTGTTAAAATAACATTTTCATAGGCACTCGTTGAAATTATTGAGGATAAGAATCAACATGTTGCTCGCAGAGCTACACTTTTCATTGGCGAAATTCTACAATTGTCTAATCGATTATTATCTGTTTCTCGTTCTATGCGGATTCAAGTGAGCAAATTTTGTGATTTAAAGTTTTGGTAGAATTCATTTATTCTTAATTTTATCAAATTTAGTCTCTACCGAGACTTTTTAGTTTAGCTACCAAATTTGACGATGAGATTGTACGGCATAGTGCGACGGCTGCTCTCTCACATATAGATAATTTAAATAGAACGCGAAATCGATTACAAGTTAACGGCGTAAATGACGAATCGTCTGTTGATTTATCTAATACGCGAAGACGTAATGCTCGACAGGTTGAAAACGTAAAGATTAAAATGGGTATGCAAATTGACGATAGACACTTTACGAATATGCTTTTGGAATCACAGGTTTGTTTTGGAATTCCTAAAAACAAAATGGATCTTTGCGAGTAAAATCATCGTATGAGACTGAGAATAATATGATCGAGCATTTGATTTGCTGGCAAAGACCTTTCAATTTATTATTCTAACAAAATATTATATTGTAGGTTCTCAACACTAAAGACGGTACAAAATGGAACTTTGAAACTGTGATGGAATTATTACAGGGTCCGTTACTTAATCCACGAAGATTAGAAGATGCGATTAAATCCAAATTTGTAAAACGTCTCATTGGATTTTTTCGACCAAGTAGTCGAAGGTTCTCCGAAATTGAAAGAAGCACTGTAAATATTTTTGATGAATTTATCATCATCATCATCATTTTTGACTAAAATAATTGAAAAAAAGTATTTTATAACAATAGGAAAGCGAGCGTTATGTACAAATGGGATGTACTCTTATATCTACACTATTAGCATGTGTTGATGGTATAAAATATTTGGAAGGTAACAAGTTCTTAAGACAAATTGCGGACGGTCTAAACCAACTAGATCCCGTATGTGATTATTATTATAAATTGTTTGTAATTCACATGGCTGAAAAGTTCATATATCATGATTTAATTTATTAATCTTCATATTTATCCAGATTCATGGAACTTTCGAAATCGAGCCACTATTTTCTAAAGAGCGAATCAATAACACACTTACATCTGGCTATTTCACCATATTAGGGAATTTTAGCAAGAATAAAGATGGTGTTAGGTTAGTCTTTTATATGTCGAATGATTTTATTTTCGATCCTATGTCATCTAATTAAAATTAATTAATTTCAATAAGATTATTGGAAAGATTCAAGATTTTCAACACATTTTATCATTTAAGTGAATTGAAAAGCCGAGAAGATTTAATCAAAGCTATTATTACAAATTTGGATTATAGTCTGTATGTTCCCCAAAAAAAAGTATATATATATATAAAAATAAAATAATTAATCGGATATAAATTTATTCTAAAGTTAAATTGTTTTGTTTGATTAGAGATGGACACCCGCGTATCCTTCTTTCAAAAGTGATGACATCTGGCTATAAGGTGATAGGATTTGAAATAATTGTCAATGTTATTTTATAATATTATCTAAAAAATTGAATTATTTATATAGCGTGTAAGGCTATATGCGACAAAGCACTTAGGTCAAGTTTTAAGGACTTCTTCGAAAAAATTCAATGAGTGGGGAATACAGTTACTTATAACTCAGGTTGATTAGAAATTGTCCGAATAACCACTTTATCTTTTTAAGTTATTAAATAAATACAAAATTAATTTTTTTTTAAATTGAATAATGACAACACGTTAGTTATATGATCCCGCTATGGAAGTATGTCAAATGGCAGTTCGTGTCCTTGAAGAAACTTGCAATCACAAAGAAAATATTGAATTGCTAGTTAAACTTCGGCCAAGTCTAGATCATTTGGGGGAAGTCGGAAATCCTTTATTATTGAGATTTATGTCTACTTCAATAGGATTTAATTACCTGTCTGAATTTGATTATGTTGAAAAAGAAATGGATGAATGGTTCCAAGTAAATTAATTTTTTGCTTTAACTTTTAACTCAATTTTAATAAATTATTATTTATATATTTATTTATTCTTTTTTTATTATTATATTTTATTAGAGTCGAAATCAATATTACGTTACTCAATTGGAAGTTGCATTGGTGACAGTATTAAAGCTTGATGGTGATGACAACAACATTGATGATGATGAGAAAGATGTCAAGATGTTAGTGATATAATTTTTTGAGAAAATAAAATTTTTTTATTAATTTATTATAATAATAATAGGCAGTCATTTGACGGGATATCCCCCCCTCATTTTTATGGTGAACTCGCAAAAACCAAAGAAGGTTGCAGATTATTAAGAGAAAAGGGACACTTTCATGAATTTGCAAATTTTGTGAGGGCACACAGACTAGAATCACGTGATAAATCTGTTATAATGAAGTTAAAGTCGGTTCTTTGGGCCGTGGTAAGTTATAATTAGCATCATCATGAAAAGATTTGCTTTTTATGTAATAAACATTCCTTATATAAATCAGGGTAATATCGGATCATCAAGGAGTGGATTACAATTTTTAGAGGAAGAAAATATAGTAAAGGATATAGTGTATATTGCAGAAAATTCTGCAGTCCTATCCTTGAAAGGGTGAAATAACCAATCTCATAAATTTATATTGAATTCATCCTTTAAATCTTTTATTAATTTATCATAATTCATTAATGTTCTTATATAGAACATGTTACTTTGTTTTGGGTCTAATAGCAAAAACGGCATCAGGTGTTGAAATTTTGGAGGAACTTAATTGGGAATGTGTATATGACACCTTCACAGGAATAGGAACTGGTTTATGTATACCCACAAATTCTGAGGCGTTTCTATCTGTAAGTATTAAAGCAATTTTCACAAAATTGAAAAGGTATATTTAATGAAGCATTTTACTCTTATAATTTCTAGTTTCCTAGGTGGACATATGACGGTTTTGAATCATCTCCCGATATACCTTCAAAATCTATTGTACCAGACACGCAGGTTGAAAAAGATTTATTAAAAGCAATGGCAAATCTTACGAATAAAATATTATCAAGTGCTGGTTCACGAAGTCTTTCAAAGTAAGTTAATTATTAACGAATTCAATTTGCTTAAATATATTAATATTAATTTATTTTATTTTTAGAATAAGATCACAGCATCCTGAAATATTTACTAAGCTGGAAACATATTATAAAGTCATTCAAATGTTATCAACATATCATTATCGTTTGCCTACACGTAGACTCATTAGTGAATTGTTTGATGTGAATTTCACATTGGAAACGTTTGAAGATCTTGATAGGTTGCTAGGAACGCAACAAAATGAAGTAAATGGAATAATGAATGGACGTTTGACAGGCGATGATGATAATGTAGAAGATTCTCAACATCAACAAAAAATGGAAAAATTCAAGAGGACACATCGTGGTAGCGATGTTGTAATTGCTGTAATGTCAGAAGACCGAAACGATACAAACACCGAAGAAATTGTACCAAAACAGGCATTATCACCTGTTATGGTTATAAGAGGTTTTAGGACTTGAACTTATTTATTTATTGCACATTTTGTATAATATCTATTATTTATTATCTTTGGACTTTAAAATATTATAGAAATATTATATATCAAAAAAAAAAGGATATTATTAGCTTGTAAGCTTTCATATTTTATATTGTAACATAAAAAACGTTTTACTAAAAATAAAAATTATATTTTTATAACTTAATTTATTTATTTTTAAAATAACTATTATTTAAGTAACAATATTCCATAAAACTAATGGAAATAAAAAAAATAAAAAATAAAAATAAAAATTTGATTTATATTTTAAACCGCCCAACGGGGGGATCGAACCCCCAACCTTGAGATTACGTTAGGTAACATAAGAGTCTCACGCTCTACCGATTGAGCTAGCCGGGCTTTCGCTCGATAAGTTTGAGGAGTTCTTTATTAAATTAGCTTTGATATCAGTTGCCAATCTTATTCACATATACGACATATACGGAAGGGTTTTGAAAATAAGCACCCCCCTCCCCGGGGATTCAGAGTAAAGGGGAGAGGTCCTCCTTCGAAAAGCAACTTAACGGCTGCTGTTTAAGCTAAGAGATTTATTGTGTAATGTTTTTTTTAATACATCATTTATATTAATGTTTTTGTTTAGGTGTGAAAATGAACTTGTTGTAAAGTTATATTTGTGAACTAACATTTTGATTTATAAAATTTTTAAGATTGGTAATTTTTTGATTGAATGTTAAAGATGAAAGATTAAATAAGTTTTATTTATACAAATTTTGAATTAGAGAATGATCACGCGCAGTAAGGTCACAAATGATGATTTTCTCAGAAAACACAAAAAGAGACAATAGATAAACTTTATAATCATTGTGTTGATTCTATTATTTTAAAAAAAAATTCATGTTGTACTCCCATCTTAATTTTTCTTATCCACCATTAAAAGTTACTTTTTGATAAAATTTTTAATAGATTTCTTATCGGATTACAGAAACAATATGGCGTTGTTTTATTACTAAAATTGTAGTGTGATTATGTTGTGCTTCAATTTTATAATTATATCGGAATTTATAATTTTACTGAACATTATATATAGAAAATTTTAATATTTGGTAGAAAGGATACCAAATATGATTTTCCCCCTTTCTATTTATTGCAAAGGCCTCATTTGTTAGGGCCTCGTCAAATTTTTTTTTTTTTATTTGAACAAATTTTGGGGAAATGATGATATATTACTTCTATTATTATTATATACGAGATATGTATTATTACAAAATAAAAAAGGTTTATTTAATCGCAAAGATTATTTCTGTTCATTATAAAACGCTTTGAATTTAAAGTTGTTATTTTTAAAAAAATAAAAAAATTTTTAAAACACAAATTTGTATCTTCCAAGAATATTTATGATTTTTTCCTATCGTAAAAGATAGATGGAACGACATGACCAAAACGCATCACGGTCCTTTAAATTAATTCCTTTTTAATAATTTTGATGAGGAATTGCATAAAATAAAATTTTTAACCGTCGCGCGACTCTCAGAAAGCCGAAAGGAATTTATCCTAAGCGGGGGGATATAGTTTATAGGGTGGGGATTCCCCCCTCCTTTTTTCCGGCATGTATCACATATAAGTGGACTATACAACCAATTATCACCGATGAGATGGGTGGTTTACAACCTGGATCGGTTTTTAGTAATCTTTCATTTGTCCAAAAGTTCTAACAGAACTCGAATTCGATCAATCAATATTTATGACAGGTATTACACAAGCTTAAAAGGAAATATATGAAATTTATTAAGTGGATGTATTGAATTTCTTTTTAAAAAAGACATTAATAAACACATTCAGACGATAATAATATTTTCATTACCTTACAAAGAAGATTAAGTAAATAAATAAAACTTTGGTGATTCCGCTTATATTAACGTTATTCCTTCCATTTGTGAGTAATCAGTTGATAAATGTAGACCAAAGGTCTATCAATCATTTTGTCCTGTTTATGCCCCTCCTCCTAGATCTTTATCCGACCTTTGAAAAGAAAGATTTAGGAAGTTACAATTATCATGTTCTCAGCCTATTAGGGAGGATCGAGACTGAATATCTGTTCAATGGGTCATGTCTATAGTTGGAACATCAGACAAGCTTGATGTGTCATCTGTGCCATCTGTGCTCCAACTCTAGCTTTATGGCTCAGTTGAATCTATAATCCTTTAATACAAAATTTAAACACTTGCCTGCTTGTTATTATTAATTAATTGCTGTGCTTTTTTTGTCTTCGACCTTTTTCTGTATTGGTAACAATTTATCTTTCGTTTAACAGTTCGACATTGCATTCACTGAGGAATCCAATAACAAATTATTCTGATGCTTTTTATTCAAAAAATTCATGTCATTTTTTTGGCAAACTTTTTTATGTGAACACCTTCAAGATTAAAAATCAATTGAATTTTGCGAAGTACTACTTTTGTTGATGAGATATATTCATTCTAACAATGATTTCTTAGTGAATATCTCATATGTTAAAAGGATTGAGAATAGCGTTTTGACTTTGAGAATTTATAGAATCAAAAATCCATTCAAATTGTTAAAATGTTCTTTTAGTGTAATAAAAAAACTATCTTATTATTACTTTGCAGTTTGCTTGATTGTTGATACTAATAATGTAAAAATAATGTAATGGTAAGTTTAATTAATTAAATATTTCGTTTGATTATTATTTTACAGACATAAAATGAATAAAAGTATTTACTAACAAATTTTTATATAATTTGTAGGATCAATTTTGGATTAGATATTTACATTAATCTGATCGCATCACAAAAATCTGATCAACTGCCTTTTAACAATAATGTTATTCATATGTAAAGATCATTAGAAGACCCTGTAATTACTTGTTTCTGTGATATGAGACATTTAAATTAAATTATTTCAAATGCTATTATACATCTATCATTTTATTTATAGTTAATGGTAAAATTTGAAATTTTTCTTATGCAAGGAAATTCTGTTATCTCTCAAAAAGCATAGCTTTGAAAGAAAGATTGATTTGTTACAATAAACTTGATAAAAAAAAATTTTATTAGCATACACTCTTCTTATAATCCTATTACCTATCTATTATCTGAAAGTTTGGTAAAATAATTATATTAATTATACCTTTATTAACTAATCTATCAAAAAATTAATCATTATGGTCATTTTTATTGGTCAATGATAGTAAATGTATAAGTACTGGAAAAACTTCTAGTAATGCAAAATAGCTAGTTTTTTAAGGTAAAATAATATAGGAAAGAAAATAATAAATTTTACTTTGGATACTACTAAAGATGGATCCGCAACTACAGGGTTCCGGTTAATTAACTGGTTAATTAACCATATTAAATTTAATTAACCATTTTGGTTAAGTAGCGCCCATCCCGCTAACGTTTAAAAAATTTAAGATTCTCAACAGATAATTATGGACCTTGAGCAAATTTGAGACAATAAATATAAATTTGGAAATCCTAACACAAATTAAGATTCTACTAAAAACTAATATAATTTTTTATTTGTCGAATCGTCGATAAACACGCTCCGGGGATATTCATTTAGAGAAAATTCTATGCATGAGCTCGTCATTAAATTTTCTCTGACCCTTTGGATCACATCTAATCAAGTTCGTTCCACAATTAGAAGATCCTATTGCTATTTATATGTCGTTGGTAATTTGATTTCGTATATCTTAAATCGTCATGCCAACCAACCCCTTATTCTTGATTTTTGACCTTATATATTTTATAAATTATTTCTTGGGTATTCATGAAATTTGTTTAATTATACTTTTCGAAGGCGTACCTTAAAAGTAATGGCATTGTTCAAGCTGTTTGGGAATAAGCTTGCCGGCTCTCTAACTATAGTTACAATAGAATCCTTAGTTCTCGTTTTGATACAAAGTGCGAAGGCTATGTTGCTGGAACCCCGATGGGGACATGGAGCCGTACTTTTAAGTAACAAGTAGGTACAAAAGCAATGTAATAACAGAAAATGATATTTAATCTGTAAAAAATATTTTTATTTTTATTTTTTATTTGTATTTTTGAATTATTTAACCAGTTTTTTCCATTGAATAAAGATTGATTTGATGTTTCTTCTTTCTATAGATTATATATTTATGGAGGAAAAACAGGAACAAAAAATGATCTTGATTATATAAATCAACTCATTATTCTGGATGTTTCAACATCTTTCGCAATATCAGATCCTGCGTGGACAACACGCTCTGTTGGGCCAAAAGTTGCATATCACACAATAAGTATAGGTGGATCACAAAATGAACTTTTAGTGTTATATGGTGGTGAATATCTAAATACACCTGATGAACCTGTACCAGACAATCCATTATTTTATTACAACACTTTGGAGGATTCACCTGAATGGAATAATGCCAATTTAAGTTTAGGGACTCCACGGAAAGAGCACACTGCTGTTACAAGACTATCTGATTCCATGAATTATTTTTTTGGTGGCATACCTGATGTATCCGATATCTCGGTTTCAGCTATAATTCAATTTCAAGATTTATTTAAGTTGGATACCAGAAAAAATTACTGGGATATCCAACATGTAGATCCAAATACGCCATCTGAAAGATTTCATCATACTGCAACAATTCTTCCTGATGGAAAAATGTATGTGATTGGAGGGTATTCCAAGGACAAATTAGTAGACATAAGTCAAATTTACGTTTATGATACAATAAATGAAATATGGAATGTTCAGGTATCGTAAATTTTGAGAAGAAATGATTTTAAAAAATAATTCTTTATAATTGAACCTTTAAAATTTTTACTTTAAGACTGCAGTTGGCACTTTGCCTTCGGCACGTCGAGATCATGCCGCAGTAGGAAGTAGGTAGCTTAAAGCTAATTAAAAATAATCATTTTAAATTCAACTTAAGAAAGCATCTTTTTAATTTGTAGCACATGATGGTAAGGTGATCATACATGGTGGTGTGAATCAGGATTATCTTGGGTTATTTGATGATATCGCGGTTTTGGACACAACCACTCAACCAAATTACACTTGGAACGTGATTAAAGCAAAGGGCACTATACCAGCAGCAAGATATTCTCACACTGCTACGATGATTGGCACTAATATGCTGATAGCATTTGGTAAGTTCCTTTTAAAATTTTCTCATGTATGACAGGTTCATTTATACTTATCTTTGGTTAATACATAATAGGTTTTTTAGCAAAAGATACCCCAGATAATAATATTTATGTCCTTGGTAATGGATTATTTTTTTGCATTATTATTATTTTGGTTGAATTTAGCATCATGACTAAAATAAGATAATGAATTTATCGTGAATTTCATTAGATACGATTACGTATACATGGAAAGAAAGTTATTCCCCAGAAAATTTGGACTTTACAAAAACAACGTACTCTCCTAACGATGATCCGACACAACAAGGAAAAACTTCAAAAACCAGAGTAATAGCTGCTTCAACGATAGGAACAATAGTATTTATTTTGTTGGTAGGCTATGTACTTTGGTTTTTTCGTAGAAAAAGGCAAGATTCCTTTTATGCCGCACCATATTCGAACACAAATGAACAAGCTTCGAATCAAGAAAAACCAAATAAATTTAATATCTTTTTATGCGCAAAAAAACCAACATTAAATCAAAAATCAAAGACATTGGGCGTTCCTTCTGGTTCCACTACTGAAGAATTACCTCGGCCAAGCATGGGCAGCGGCCTTGCTATGCCTATAGAGAGTAGTTCTCATGATAAAGATTATTCTGCAGCATTGGAAGAAAACATGATGGGTATTGACATTCAGCAAACAAACTTTATGATTGTTCCGAAATCACCCTTACGTGTTACAAATCCAGATAATGTGGGGGATGATTAGCTTAAAATGAAAATTTTCAATATTGTCACCTTTATAATATTTTAGTTGTCAGTTTCGCAAGTTAATTAATAGTTTTTACGTATATTTTATTGCTTTTTCTTTGTACAAATAATTTTTTTTTCACACCTTAATATTTAGGGCATATAAAGATCACTTATATATACGATATATATATAATATATTTTGCATCGTTGATTTAGACACAATTAGATTGCATATATGCGCTGATCGGACTTTTTTTATCATGAGACAATTATGAATTTTGTGATATAAATATTTTATATTATATACTCTTGTTAAATTAAAAATATGCAAGAAAACTTTCAATTTCAAACGGTATTTACACCATATAATATGCAACAACAAAGTAGAAGCATAATAATCAATCTACTTTAAATATACTCCATAATAGTACACCTTTATTTCAACAGTCTTTAACATCGCCACAAAAAAATATTTTACTATAACTCATGACTACATATATATACTATACAATATATTATTTCTTGGATTTTATCCAAAAATATCTACAGAAGTTATTTAATGGTAATGTAAAATGTTGACATAATTATTTAGATCACTGAACAATATTTAATTATCACATCTGTTGAGCCCATATAGTATTGGCTGAAAATATAAACATTAATTAATGATTCGAAAGACGAAATTGGTAAGGTGAAGTGATACAGAGAACTTTACTTTGATTACAAATAAAATTTCGACATATTTTTTCTTTATTCAAAAAAAAGCGAATAAATGTGTGATTCAATAGAAAATCCTATAACACAAGAAATAAAATTAGAGCAGGACATTTTAGAACTGAAAACTGTACGGTAATTATTAAATTTTAATTAATAATGTGAAAAGTAATTAATTCAGTTTCTCGCGATTTTCGTTTCTTTAAATAACAAACTTATTCGTTACTCATTTACAAGCGTATTCTCTGGAACCTTCAATGTTAGCGGACAAGACGTAACAGAATCTCTTTCCCCTTGGCTTCAATGTGATTATGATATCGATATTTATGCCATTGGGTGAGCTTTTTTAATTAATTAGAAACAAAAATTGTAATCATTGATGTGACTAATTAAATCAAACCTATATGTAGTCAATTATCATAATCACTATTGATCGATTTGTCTGTGATCTCATAATAAAATTTTGTTTTTATACGCCACTATAACCCTGAATAATTATTGTTATTTCACTTCAAATTCTATAAATTTTTTTTTTGTTTTCAAAAAAAGCGAGGTATATTATAAAGTAAATAATTAGGACTACATATAGGTTTGATTAAATTAGTCCATAAACTAATTTATCATCACAATTTGTAGATTCCAAGAATTGGATCTGAGTGTAGAAGCGTATTTGGTATATGATGGTACGAGAGAATCTAATTGGACTAACGCTGTTTTGCAAGCATTAGGTGATAAAGCTGCTGATTATCGGAAGGTATAAATTTTTTATAAATCATTGTAATCACCTGGAGATGATTTGATCACTGATAATTAGATTATCACCTAAAAATTAGGTGTGAAAGTATAGAGCAACGCATGAGTCTTTCCTTTGCATTTATTACCTTCACTACCAAATTATTGTTATATCAATGATCGAAATTGATTTTTAAATTTCAAAATATAGAGAATACCCATGAGGAAACTAATCGTGAAACTGTTATATTCGATTTAGATCATGTCAAAACAACTGATCGGAATGCTTCTTATAGTCCTAATGAAAAGTGAACATGCACCATACATTAGAGATATAAAATCCGATTGTGTCGGTGTCGGGTTAATGGGCATGATGGTATGAATTAATATAGGCAAGCACAATATGGGAGGCATTCAAATACGCAAAGTTTGTTTGTGTGTGACCCTCCCTTTCCTTCTTTCTCACGTTTTTTTTTTTGGATTTTGAATGTAAAGTCCTTCGCTAATTGAATAAATTCTAATTTAGGGTAACAAAGGTGGTGTAGCTATTCGGTTCCGTTTTCATGATTCATACCTATGCTTTGTAAATTGTCATTTAGCAGCTGATCCTAATGGACTAGAAAGAAGGAATCAAGATTATTTGGATATCTGTCAGCGAATAACTTTTCCTATTAATATGAGTGAAGGTTATTCATCATTATATGGTTGGGTTGGTGATTATATACCTCCATATGCCAAAAATGCAGTTGCAGGTATGGGAGGGATGGTGGGTATTATAGGCACAACGCCTAATGATAATAAAGTAGGTGCTGGTCAAGTTATGCCCATATTTGATAACGAGTAAGTCTGTTTCATTTTAAAAACATGGTCCCTCGTGTCCTCATTATCAAATTTAATGAAGATATTTGACATATTATCAGTCATTTGATTTGGATGGGAGATTTAAATTATCGAATAGACACGTTACCAGAATCTGAGGTAAAAACTATGTTGGAAGGAAACAATACAGAAGTATTATTGAATTTTGATCAGGTATGTTTCATGAAATGCCCTTTTCATTATAATGACATTAGGTTTTTTGATCATTTTTCACAAACTCTCTTTTTTAGCTGAACATACAAAGACATAAAAAACAAGCATTTAATGGATTTGAAGAAGGAAAAATCACCTTTCTTCCCACTTATAAGTATGATTTTGGAACAAATGAATGGGATACTAGGTAATTATTCAACTCTTTCAAATCATTCTTTTTTTTAAAGTTTTTGATTTATATCACTAAATTTGATGATAAAAAAAAATCCTACTTAGCGAAAAGAAAAGAACTCCTGCATGGACGGATAGAATATTATGGAGAAGTCAGAATAATGAATGGTGTAAATTACTTCGATATGTAAGTCATATGAAAATTGCATTAAGTGATCATAAGCCTGTGAGTGCAATTTTTGAATTGAAGGTAAGATAATTACTTCGGAATAGATCTTCGAAATTTTAAGTGGAAATTCAATTTTGTGTTTTTAAAATTATACAGATTAAAAAATGTGTGAGGGATGATTGGATCATATTAAAAGATAATGAGTGTGAACAGGTATGATATCATAATCTTTTCAATAACGCAACATCAAATTATAATAATTTGAGAATTATTTTTATTATTAGCATACAGAAATAAATAAGATTCCGACAGACTTAAATAATACAGGGGAGAGAGGAGAATGCTGAATGATACATTTGATACATTCCTTCAAATTATATTAAAGTGTATAATAAATATATTTCAAAAGAATTAATTGTACTTTTAATGATTAGATTTTATTTATTCTAAATCATATATATTAATATTCCTTGAGAAGTCAAGGATATTGTATTAACTTAAATCTTTCTGACCAAAATATTTTCTTACAATAGTAATAATTATATTCAAGGAAGCAAACATAATAAGATCTTCCTCATCTACCTATTAAATAAAAGTCAGATAGATATAAGCATAAACTCCTTGTTTTTTTTAAAAACATAAGAATTCGGTACCTTTTGCCGTAGTTGAATGCATTTCTCACTCAATTGCCTTAAAATAGCCATCTGATTAGGCATCAAGAGGTTGTCAACACGTGCAAGCAACGCGAAGAGCCATTGGGATTGTGCAATTGTAATCCCATTAGAAATCCACTTTTGATGATATGAAAGAAGCGTGATTGTTGTAATCTAAGAACCGGTGAATTTAAAACTGTAAAGGTTAATTATTTTAATTCGATAAAAAGAAAGAAAAGGTTTATCCTATTTTAAAAAAAAAATTTTCTCGTACCTGGTCCATTTGTGACACGACACTAACAAGCGGCAAAGTCATCTCATCTATATCACCTTCATTTTCTAAACCAATGTCTTTCGCTAAATTCAACGATTCATGTATCGAATTTACTCCATAGCAAAATTTAAGCCATCCAGCTTCATCATTTCGCGCTGGTAGCTCGATTGATGATTTATTTCGTGACGGTCCAAAGTTTTTCCGCACACGTTTTTCTAATCCCTTGCGTTAACGTGACCAATTGAATATTAAATTTGTTAAATAAAATAAATAATATATAATAAATTACATCATAAACGAACGAACCTGTCTTATTAAATCAAATTTCATCAAAAATCTATTTTCCCAATCTTTTTTTACAAAATTTTGATCATAATTATCATATTCTGTTTGATATTCCCAGCCTCTTTTAACCCATTTCGCCACTTTAATTCCTTTAGGCTGAGTTATTGGATTTTTGGTCTTGATAACAGTAGGCCTTTTTATAGCTTCTAACCTTACCATACGCAAATATTCCTCTCCCGTTGCAGGAGGCCTATCGCGTGGTAATGGCTTTTCAGACACGGGAAGAACTTTTTGTATTAAAACTTCGCTTTCGCTCTCGTCTTTGTCCTTTTCCTTGTCTTTGTAAAAGTCTTCTTCGAATTCAGCAAGTAAGTGTTCTTCCATTTGAAGACGAAATTGCTTAGAAGCTTAAAATTGCTTGTAAGAACAATTATTATTTTTTTTTTTTTTTTTACAAATTCCTAGCAAAGAAATGACGATCAATAATTATAACTTTTTCCACCAACAATGTGAATTAGAAAGAGGATCAAAATTATTGAATGCATTATTCATCATAGTAATAATAACTCGGCAATTAAATTTGAACATTTAAAATCTGAGTATATTGAAAAGTTTTTTTTTTTTTTTACCGCCGATCTTCGAATCAGTAATTGTTCTGAAAAGTTATTGGTAATGCCATTACTTACAATAAAAGTCTTTCGCTGGTTCAACCAATTGAAAAACTTTCCATCTGTTAAAATTATTTTAAATGAAATTTAATCGATTGATGGTTCAAAGACGTTCATTACGCATTAAATTGGGGATCATTAGGATTGTTCCTTTGCGGACTGCTAAAGTTCCTTTCTCAAACCATTTATTCCCAAAGAGTAATTTTCTGCTAATGTTCTATAATTTAAGGGTTGAGATGAAGGATAGATAGATAATAAGATAATACGATGAATGAACTTAATAGGGTTGGACAAATTAATCTCTCATTTAATCGATTATTTTATTTAATTCATGATGTTCAATATAGAATATTCATTAAAGCCATTAAAGGCAACATAAAAGAAAATTTCTTTAAGAAGTAATGGTTATCTTTATGTAAATATTGTCGTCAATTCATCACCAGATTATATTTATTATACATTAAAATGATGTATACGCGTAACGCTTTTCAAACATCGTTTTAAAAGGAACAAAGAATGTATTAGATGCATTAAAGTCAAGTTCCAAAAACCAAAAATTCAAAAAATATACAAAAAAAAAACATTTTAATTAGTTTCACGGGGAAAACATTTTAACGTGGGATCTTTTTAATTAATTGTAACAACAAGAAGGGATTAAACTCCGTTATTTCGGACCTTTTAAATTCATATAATTGGCCAATATACCCGCTTTCATGTAAATCGATGGTGGATCGCTGCTGATGCATGGTGTTCAATTGGTACATTACACAAATTTATTCATTTCCTTGTAGAATAAATTTGGCTATTTCACCATTACTCGAGAAACATCCAACTCGACATATTTAGGCACAATCAGAAAACAAATTTTAACTTGTATTAGGAAATAATACTGTAGGGACCCGAAAATAATGTGGTACAAGTCGGTAATGCTGGCGATGGCGAGTTAACTTTTTTTTTTTTTATTTTTTTTAATTTTACTTGTCATAACGAATGGTAAAAATTTTTCATTAGCATGCATTATTAATATGGAAATTGCTATTGTTTATTCTTTTTGGAAAATTATTGAGGGCTTACCACCTTTTGCTGAGGAGCACCCTTAGAAGATTAAGGCACGCTCTATATGAAACTCTTTTTACGCTTGCTTTTGACAGTTACAGTTTGATGTTAAAAAAAAAAAAAGATTTAAAAATTAAATAAGGACGACGAATAACATTTTAGTATATATATATGTATCATTTCTTTGTAAGATTGATGCAATCTGAAAGGTTGAACAGGTTCGCCGCTCCCCAATTCTAAAAATAAAATTAAAAAATCGTTCGACTAGACCATTTAGGGTTCACAGTTTCATTTTTAAAAATAGACCAATTCAATTTGTTTGTTGCCTTGTAAAGTTTTTACAAGTTTTTTTATTTTTAAACTACACATGGATGTTTATCGATCTTCTACCCGTATTACCTACCTGATTGCCTGATTGGCCTCTAAAAAAAGTTCACCCAACACGCTGGTAAGAACAAAGATTTATTATGTTTCGAAATAATATAAGAAATAAAAAAAAAAATAAATAATATTATGTAAAAAAACTTATATTATTATCTACCCTTAAAAATAAATAAACAAATCAATCATTGCTTAATATATTATTCGGACAAATAAACCCACAAATACTGAATTACTGTGTAATTACTGTGCGTATATAAATAAATATAAAATGATCGATCGGATTCGTCACGTGAATACAACGTCACGGCGCGTATGGCATCACATATCATTATTATCTTAATCTAATGAAAATCATAACCTGTTACGATAGTACAATATTAATTGCTCCTTGTTCAATATAACCTTTGTTCTAAATTTTTTTTTTTTATTTTATTTCTAAAACATCATATCCAAAGAAATTTTTCTCGGGGCGTTTAGCATTAATAAATAAAATAAAAAAAAACTATAATTAGATTTTAGTTTCATGTGGAATGTTTGTTCCGTTAAAATTCATCAAAAAAATTGTACATTATTTACATTATGTAAACATGTATCGAGATGTGGCGAAAGTTGTTTGGCTTTCTTAAACAAGAATTTTGAAGTGTGAAGAGACATTGGTTATTTTTATCTTTCGGAGAAAATAAAAAAAAAAAACTTGTTTATCTATTTGTTTACATTATTTTATTATCGATAAAAATAGGCTCGGAATAATATAACGTTTCTAAAATGTGAAAAAAAAGTCAAAAATGTTTATCATATTTAATAACTTCTATTTTAGTACAAATTAAAATTCATGGAGTTCCCCGATAAAGGAATGACATTAATTTAGCATGGCGTGTCAACAAGGGAAACCTGCTTCAATCCTCACTGGGAAAATGATAGTGTACCTGATAATAAAATAAAATAAAGTTTTAAACGGAACCAACGGAACCAATCAATAAGTTCTCATTCATTAGCACATTTTCGCTATTTTCTTATTGAACAATCTTAAAATGTTCTAGCTAATATTGTCAAATATTGATTTACGTCGGCCTTTTTTTTTCTCTTTAACTGAAATAAATGATTTCTTTTATTGTACAAATTTGTAATTCGAATATTAATTTTCCGGCCGTTAAACAAAAAAATCATATGTTGATATAATTTGTCAACAATGTTGAAAAAAAAAATCATTTTCTTTTTTCACCATCTCCGGGAACATCCTCGCGAGTGGAAAACCGAGCGAATTATTTTATTTGTGTTAGGGGATAATTGATCCCAAAAGAATCGATCAAGTAATTAAATAGTAATTAATTTTCTTTTTTTTGTTTCGTTCCAATTTCTCCTTTTCGTAATTCCGGTTAACTTTGAAACAGGTTAACCCGACAACGCTTTTTTTCCCCCTTTCCAACCAAACATCATGGTTACAATTATGAATAGAAAAAAACAATCCAACTACAAGGTAATTAATTTGTCATTGTTGTCATATATAGATAAACGTAACTAAGATATTTTTTAATACATGGGGGGATGAATTGTGTTTCATCTTTTTAAAAAAATTTTGATTTCAACTAGATCGGCGACTATGTTACTCTATATTGTATTAAGAATTTTTTTATACAAATATATACAGTATATATGATCGTCTAATATGAAATATGTTTAATAAAATAAAAAATGAAAAGTGAAATTTCTCCTGTCCCAAAGTAATATAAATACGGGGTTGATTTTCTAATTTCTAAATTTATTCACTCACAAAGAGAGAAAAAAAAAAAAAAAGAAATTTATTCAATTGATAAATCAAAAAGATAAAAATCATGCCTAAAGAAAGAAAGACATCTGCTTCTAAAAAATCTTCTCAACCAAAACAGAGAAAGAATCGTAGGCAAATTCACCTTTTTGAAACACCAGAATTTCAAGAAAAATTAAAACGTTCTATTGATGAAAATTTGGAAAAAATAACTCAGGAAGAGGGATTCGTCTTTCCAACAAACATTCCGCTCAAAGATTTAATTTCCCCTTGTAAAAGGACAAGCGGAAGGAAGGGAAAGGTGACTCGCCCTCAAAACGCATTCATTCTTTACCGTAAAGATTTACAATCGAAAATCAGAAATGAAAATCCCAACGCGGATTTTAAAGATATTTCCAAAATTGCAGGAATTTGGTGGAAATCAGAATCCCATCAAATTAAAAATAATTACACCATATTATCCACCCTTTGCGCTCTCGTTCACCAAGACCTATTTCCCAATTACAAATATCAACCGAAACAAAAGGAGACCATTGATCATAATAAAAATAAAAATAAAAGTAATAACAAAGATAATGTTAATAATAATTTAATTAACATTGAAGATTCGAGATTCGATGAAGGAGTAGAGGAACGTTTTCCAAAACCTTGGGAACCAATGCCTCGAATCTTTAAGCATACTCCAGGGATTTTACAAAATGCCCCATTATCAACCATCCCATCTACCGAAATAAAATTTTATCAAGACACTTCAGCCTCCTCGCACATAATACAAATTCAACAAGATAATTCCGCTGAACCCGAGTATTATGATTCTACAGACTCAACATTAACAGATTTGAAGTGCGAAAACGAACCACCCGAGATGATAATGATGAATTATTTCGATGAAATCGAAAACGCGACAATGAATCCTGGTACACTTTCTTTTGACGGGAATCAAATTGATTCCTCACCGGAGGATTCTTCTAATGAAGAAATTAATGATTTTTTACCAACAACCTCGAACTTTCCTTTTGATATGCAATCACAGCTATATTATTCATCATCAATTGACGATTCTCAAATTTATACCGATCAACTAACTACCATACCTTCATTTAACGATCAAAGTTCCGTCAATAATATGAATAATTTAAATGCTCTTTATGAAAATGACTCGCTACAAGCATATAACATGGAATTTCTTAACGGATGGCCAGACGATCAATTGATTCATAATCTTACATTAAACATACATAAGTAATATATTTGAAAAGTTTTGATTTTATTTATTAATTTTATATACATTTTTTTTTTATATAGATAAAATGTTAAATATAGGTTTTACATAGCTGTAAATAGAAATAATATCTCTGATATTTTTATTTTATTTTTTTTTTTTTAAAATATGTTAGATGAAGGATTGATCGTTCGTCAATGGCAAGGAATAAAATGTTACATAAATCAATTTAAAAGACAATACATGACAATTTTTTTAGATCTTCTAATTTATTGATGTTTATCGCCTAGACTTTTTTTCATGTCTCCCGATTCTTTTTTTTGTTGTTGTTGTTTTAAAATTTGCCGTCGCTATGAACCCATTATTATTAGTTTTGTTTCTTTCATTATTATTTTTAACTATATAGCATTATTAATGTAGGTGAGAATATAACAATAAATTTTATTATGCTTATTTAAGAATTAGTAAATATTTAAAACGAAATAAAAAATAACAATACGATTAATTAATATTGTGCACAATATTCCTTTGTATAGTAATTAAATGAAAACCCATGCATATTTTTAACCAATTAAGACGAGGACTGTTTCACTTAGATAATATAGTAATTTACATGGGTTTAAAAATGACGTGGCTTTATTTTTTATAAAAAAAAAATCAAGCGTGAAATGCGTAAATTGGACAAAGAATGTGTACACATATCGAAAAAAAATTGACATCGAGTAATTAAAGAAATTTATTTGAAACAATTTAAACTAGTAAAAAAAACAAAGACGATGCGTGTTTATGTATTAAATTTAATTGAGGTAGGATCAACAATGGAATTGGAATGTTAAATTTTTTGAATTATCTTTAAAACAAAATTCTTTTTTTTTTAAGAATAGTCAGAGACGAAACAAGGATCCAGTTGGGGAAGTTTTATTTCATTGTCTGGCTGTCGGGTTATTTGCCCGCAGTTTCCGACGTTTGATGTTTTTCAGTAAGAAATTTTGGTTCTTTGTCAATATATACATTCATGCAGTTCATTCTTTTTTAGAATTATTAATTGCTTAAAATAAAAAAATACAAATTTTTGTTTTACCGGAGTTTCGCAATTTGGGATTTATCATGTAACAGGTTTGTAAAATTCCTATTCAGACTAAGGAGTACATGGTAAGAAAGAATTTCTAACTCAATATATTAACGGTTACAGTAACACAAGTCCCCTATATTGTTGTGTTGGTGAAAACGTTTTATCTCCATGCTTCACCTAATCAAACTCTTGGGCGTGTAACACAATTCTTCTTTTAGTCAAAGAGTAGTTATATCAATATTATTATTATATTTTGATTAGATCGTTATAGCATCAAAAGAAGATTCTTTTTTCCCTGTTCCTTTAACCTTTTTACTCTTAACCATCTTCATAATACATTCTTTTAAAATTCAATATCCTGTATTAAAATTAACGTTTGGCTAAAGTAATTTATGTTTGCTTTAGAAATATGGCGACAAATGACTGCATTCAAGGCCATCAAAACACAAAAGCAGGTAATTGTCAATTTTATGAAAAAGAAATGGCTGCATGCGTTCTTTATGCTTACAAAGATTGTATGTAGGTTTGTGTGGTAAAAATGTGACGATCATTAACTTGAAGTCAAACTATTGTTTAATCTATAAAGGTTAACATATTTTATGACTTTATAATTATTCTATTTAGGATGTGATCTATTTATAGATTTAATAAAATCGATGTTTATATGGTAACGGCTTAGTCGCATCTAATGAAAAGGAACATTATTAAATCATATGACCACTAAAAAAGTACGTTATTAGATAGCATTTGATATGGTTTTTAAAGTAGCGTTCTTGTTTATTCTTTTTTTGTTATAAAAACAATTTTTAATTATTTTTTAAAGCTAATTCAATAGCAATAGGGCATAACCAGTATCACGTGAAATCGATATGATTGGTGCGTGTATCACATGATCGCATATAGATAAAAAAATCCACTTCGCCGAATTCTTCCAAAACGGTTGCAGGAACTCTATGATGAGACTGGTAACGCTTGACTGCAAAAACATATTCCTTACCTGAAAGTTCAAATTCATAAGCTTTTATGTAATATGCAGAATTAGGATTCCGCAATTCGATTTGATATTCGAATATTTGATTTGAAAATCAAATCAAATACAAATACAAATTTATATTTGATTTGATTCAATCAAATTCAAATCAAGTATATTCAAATATTTGATTTGATTCAAATCAATAGTAAAATCATCTTCAAAGCTTCAGATGTGGTATTTACTAAGAAAACCATAGTAAAAGCGCCTCATCAGCTTCAGAAATGCCTTTTTTACTAAGAAAACCTATAAAATAAAGTTTGTTAAATGTAGGAGACAAAATTTTAATCAGTTAAAAGGATCGTTTCATATCACACAAATCACTTAAATTTTCATCATCACATTTTTTGGTCAAGAAAGACGCATAACAGAAGTTCATAAACGCATATTTTTGATGATACAAAGAAAATAGCACATGGTGGTATAAGAACAATACATTTGCCATTTAGACATATAATCAACCAAAATCAAGAACTAAAGCATGTGCATTCATTTATTATTGTATAATAGAAAATGATTGTTCATCTAATCTATCTATAATACCTGTTTATTTAAGAAAAAATACCTTTTTCTTGTTAATATAATTCTGGATCAGTTTTCAATAATAAAAAAGAAAGAAATAAATATCTCTGTTTTATTTTACCCTTTTTAGCCAATATTCCTACTTTTTCACCTAAAACAGGAGGAATAATAATAATTAAAGAAATAATATATCAAGAAATAGACAACCACCTCAAATTTTGCTCTTACAGCTGGAATTAAAGCTGAAACTGCGAGTGATCAAGAGAATAGATTAATTAGATTAGCTGAGAAACAGAAACAATTACAAGAGAAAAGAAGAAAAGTAGCAAATAAAACTGCTAAAAAATTAGCATCATCTACTTTGAATACTCATAATAAATTATCAGCGCTTTCCGATGCTATTGAACAACAGAAATTCAATTCACTAAATAGTAGTGCTAGTCCTTATGATGTTAGTAAAAGAGCGACAGATTTCATAGAAATAGAAAAAGCAAGAAAAGCAGCACTTTATAGAATGAGTCAAAATCACATGGCAGATAAAAATAAAATGTTAAATAATTTTATGGAACAAGCGAGAAAAAATGCTAAGTTAAATAAAGTCTAGACAAAAATAAAAGGAACAAGAGCAATTGAGAACTCTTATTCGGAATAATTAATTTTAATCGCGATAGTTTTTAGGATAGATATCATCATTTATTATGACAACATGTAATTTATTCTTTAATGGATTTTAGCTGTACAGTAACATCTAAAGTAATCAGAAAAGACGTAATATAGCATATATTCTCAAAACTTCCTGCATATACTCAATAAATTTTATGTATATTATTAATAAAAAAAGAACCTTTTAATTATTTTTAGCATTAAATTCTTCTATTATAATTTTAAGAAATGCCAGTTTTCATGATAAATCATTTTGCAAAGAATTCGGTTTTAAAATCCATTTTGACCACTAAAAATCATATAAAATAGGTAAAGAATTAGTTAATGAATCTTTTTTTATCCACCTTATGCAATATTCAACCACACCCTCAAACATCTGTCTCCAACTCTTCTGACGAAAAATTATCCAATGTAAAAATGAGTGTATCAGTCAAAATCTCAAGTAAGCATACCATCTACATCTAGGTAAGTAAATCTAATAAACTTAGACTTCTGATTCTATCTAACCTAAAGATCCTGAAGAAAAATGAAAACATATAATTGGATTGTTCTAGAGTAGTTTTCCTTATCTATGTGGTGATAGTTCACATGAAGAGGTTTTCACTCTATTCCTCTACAGATACTATTGGGATTCCATGATGAAGAGTATTTCAATATAATAAGTTTATTCTTCATATTCGCCAGAATCCTAATCACTCTTTATATTATACCTTATAGTTTTTCTTTATAATCTCTACTACATATAGAATAGAATGCTAAACTATAAAGATTAAATCCATCACCTGAAATGCGCAGAAGATATTTGATAAATTTTCTTGCCAAATAAATAAAGGGCTGTATGACATGCGAATTGCATATATTTTTTTTCGTATTACTTACATAAAAATTTTTCTTACCAATGCATTATTCTATTTCTTCTTTTGACTATGTTACTATCAATAAAACAATCTTCGAATATGAATATTTTTTGGCAATCTTATTTCATATGATGGGGATTTAGAGATATGTATGCTAATCTTTTATCCATCTTTATTGATTTGCAAGAGATTAATGAAATGATGAAATGCAATGTGTAATTACTAGTGAAGTTCTGAGAATTGTTTCCTCCTATGAATTTACAAGTGCTATAAAATGGGCTGGATAATAAACAAAGCTAGTGTATCCAATATGTCAGCTTCGAAATAAAGTAAGATATTGAGAAAAATAGTCAAACTCTGAAATCTAATAACTTATCTCCTGTCAATCATCGAAGACAATATCATTGAGGATAAAGAAATTCCAAAGCTAGACCAATGTTCAGAATGCAATAATGAAATTTTATCACACCCTCTGAAGGTGATTCCTATCTTCAAGTAAACATTTATTTCATTATCATAGAACTATTTTCTAGTAATCAAGAGTTTCCATTCCAATTAAGTGAAATTTCAGCCTTATCCGACAGGATGAATGATAAGAAAACTCTTATTTTACTATGTATATCTTTAATATAATAATTATTAAAGTTTACTATAAATAATTCAGCAAAAGAATGGTTTGTGTCTTGTTAGTAAAAAATATCCAATAAGAATGCAAGTGGTGCTTTATTATAATTATAACATTTTCATTGAAATGCAAATGTTCATATTGAAAAATTGTTTCTATATATTTATTGAATAAATCAGATCGAAAAAGTATTGAACACACATCCAAAGTTGCTAGAATTACATTATAATCATATAATATTTATTATCTTTACAGGTATTTTCAAATTTTATTATCCCTTCAATAGTTTTCCTTTCAAATTTAAAAGGAATTTACTTACACTTTAAAGTTAATTTTAAATATAATAAAAATTAGTTATTAAACTAATAACATTTTTATAATAAAATTTATAAAGTTTTTTCATTAATTAGTAACTTTTTGTATTAATTTAAGATTAAAGTTTTGAAAATTTTTTAATAAAAGTATTTTCTTTATAAAAGCTAAAATTTTTAATTTTTATTTATTTTTATATTATTAAAAAAACAAATAATATAAATTTATATTTAAAACATTTATTTATATATTTAAACATTATTTATTATAAAAAAATCATAAATTTAAAGTTGAAAATTTAATATTTTAATTATTAAAAATGAAATTTTATTTACAAATAATAGATTTATAATAAATTTTATAATGTATTTTAACTAAAAGTTAAAAAAAATTGTAAGTTTTTATGTAGAATTTTGTATAATAAGAAAATCATGTCTAAACTTAAATAAAAATTATTACTATTTAAAGGATAATGATGTTTTTAATTTTATACTATTCATTATATGCTAAATTAAGTAACAAATTTATTCTACAAGGTTTAGATTTCTTTGCTAGTATTTTTCTTTTATCAAATACAAATGAAACAGTTTTTAAAAAAGAATAATATATAATTAATACATGTATATGTTTTCAACTATTAGAGAAACATAAAAGGTCTTAAAATTAGAATGAATAAGTTAATCTCAGCTGGTAGTGTTCTGCATAGATCGGATCAGATCAGATTTAGGCAAAATCTGATTCGATCCAAATCTGAAAAATCTGAATCTGATTCGATCTGATCTGATAAATCTGAATTTAATTCAATCCGAATCTGACAAATCTGAATCCAAATTTGTATCTGAATCCGTCAGATCGAATCAGATTTTTGTGAAATACTATCAGCTAGTATTAAATATTGTAAATTCTGTTTTATGTAAATTTGTTATTACTTTGCAAACAAATAATTATACAGGTCAATCTGCTATTAACAGTACAATATAATTATATAAGTATCTAGTATTTTTATCAATATTTAAAATTATTTGTATATAATTATACATAGAATGCAAATTCTTTTTTTGAAATTTAATTAGTTGTATCCTTTTTATTAAAAGTTCTTCTTTCAGCAATTGTATTATCATAATAATATATTATAAGTAGTTCAATCAAAAGTATTGTTAATATGTAATTCTTATGAACTACAACTGTTAGACAGGATGTCAAAGTGTTATTTCTTTTTAATTACACAGTAATCTTAACACTTTATAAGTTTACTTTTATGCCTAAATTCAAATAGAAAGATTTATATAAGTGTTTTATAACAATTTGCAATGTACCAAGTAATTATATTTTAAAGTAAAATGTTTATTAATAAGATAAGAAATAGAAAATAAAGAAAATAAAAGAAAATAGAGAAATGAAATACTAAAACTAAAGTGTAACACAATAGGCCTGTTTATCTTTAAAAACTACTAGAAAACTGACTTATCAAATCCTACTTTTTACATGATTTAAAAAGCTAACTATTTATATAAAATACAATAATACAACATTTAGAAAAATATAACTTATATATCAGATATGTTTAATAAATCATATATGAAAAATATATCTAATATGTCATATATGTCTAATCTGTCTAATATATTCTATTTGTCGATCATATCAGATATATTATATATGGGAGGTTTGCTAGGAAAATGGGACTTTGAAACTAAAAATTTTTTTGAATAAATTAAAAAATCAAAATAAACAAAAAACTAGCTTTAATTTGAGGCGATCTATTTTTAGGTCATGTGATATATGGGAAGTTTGCTAGGAAAATAGGGTTCTGAGCATTTTTTATTAAAATTTTAATCATTTTAATTTTTGATAATGTTAGATTAAAATGCAATAAAAATTAAAATTTTAAAAAAAAATGCTCAAAGCCCCATTTTCCTAGCAAACCTCCCATATGTTAAAGAAGTTAAAAATATTAAAGAAGCTGAAAAAGTTAATAATCAAATATTACTGTAATTTTGATATACATTATCTTTTATTTGTATAAAATTTTTATCTAAATCATATCATAAAGTATCTGCTAATAGTAAATTTAAATCAAATTAAGATATAGAGATATTTCCAGTAAAATCATATTATGGATCATATGATTTACTATATCTCATGGCTTAATTTTACTGGAAACATTCCCATATGTTAACATATTTATAAATTTTTTTCCTTCAATAACTGTAAATAGTTGATCATCAATTACTATCCAATCAATTAATTTTTTTCTAAATCCTTGTAATGTAAACTTTTCTTTTATTTGTAATAGTTCATTACTTTAATAAATATTTGGATAATGCTTTTCCACATATCTTCATAATTTTAAAAATTTTATAGTAGATTTATTGTTATAGTTTTTGCTATTTTAAAGTAAACATTAATTAAAATTATTTCAGTATAAAAAATACTTACTCGCAATAATTGCATTTTTAGCGACTAGTTAAAGAATCTAATGTAAAATATTAATATATTTCTGAAGTTCTTTTTTATTAATTAAAGATGATTCTTACTCATTATTAAAAGATAAATTTATTTGGTTATTTTGTAACGTAATTTATATTATAAATATTTCTTTTTTTAAAAAAAAATATTTTAATAATATTAAATTTAATACTTGAATTAAAAGCCTTTTTATTTTTTAAAAAAAAATAAAAAAAAAATATTAATGAGACTTGTATAATAATCTCATAATTCTTAATATTATAAATTTACTTATAAAATTAAGATTTCTTTAAAGAGAAAGCTATAAGGGCCTTTTCTCTCTTTAAAGAAGAAACCATAAAGACTTTTTCCTTTCTAAGAAAAGCTATACAAATAATTTTTTCAAAAAAAATATCTCTGGCAATAATTTCCTGCAAGAAAATACCTTTAACAACAATTTCTTTCAAAAGAAAAGTCACAGAAGCAATTTTATTCAAAAATGCTACAGATGCGATTTTTTAATAAAAATGCTTTTGAAAACGATTCTCAGCTATAGTAGTGATTCCTTTCAATAGAAAAGACATAAAAGTGATTTCTTTAATAGAAACGCCTCCAGAAATGATTTCCTTCAAAGAAACATTTCTAAAAATAATTCCTTTCAAAGATATGCCACTGGAAATGATTCCCTTCAATTAAAAA